CAGGACTCCTGGGTTCGGCTCCCAGCTCCGGGAGGGGGCAGGAAGCTTTCTAGCTAGCGAGGGAAAACACACCAAGATCTGCAGCAGATAAACAAGCAGCAGGCCCGATCGCTCAGGGCTGCAGACGCTCCGTCCACGGGAAATGACCCATTTTCACAGCTCGGGAGCTCTTCCAAGCAGAGCTGAGCCCAGCAAGGGAAGGCAGAGGAGACGCGCTGCTGCGGGAGGCGCGTTTTAGCCCTCTTCCCGGCAGAGTCAGGGGCCACGCGAGGTCTCCGATCCGGCCCCACCGGCCCTCCTCTCCATCCATTTGCCTCGCTTGCTCTTAGGCCCCTGGAAAACACCTTGGCATGCCAGGGAAGGGGAGAGCTGGGTTTTCTGGGCAGCTGGAGCCATCCCAGGGCTTTGATGGGTCTGGGTGAAGGCCAGCACCACCCTGCCCCAAGCAAGGCTGAAAATAAATACACGTGCAAACGTTCGCAGGACCCGAGAGGTCTGGGAGAAACATCACACAAGGCCCTAGATCCTGACCAACCTCAAGTCTGCTGCACACCAAAGCAAGAGCTTTTGACCTGCAGATCCAAGAGGACCTCAAGCAGCAACGGAGCAGCAGCGTCTGCCTTAGCTCAGGCCAGGAAGAGCCGAGGCCCCAGGACTCGGCTCCAACCCAGCGCCTCGCTGAGGATGCTCAAGGCCTGTTCTGTCGCAGGCGTTTCCCCACGCCTCCCCCCGCGGCGCTCTCACCATTTGTTCTTTGCTCCGCTCAATAGCGCGGCGGGACGCTGGGTTTGTGCAGCGCCTGGCGCGAGGGGCACTGGGTACCAACAGGGACTTTGGCACGACGGCAATAGGGACAGCAGCAAAACAAGTTACCGCAGCTCGGGGGGAGAGATGACTAGAGACAGATGTGCTCCCCACAGAGCCCAAACGCGTTCCAATTTGGGCTCCGACAGCACCACGTAACCCGGCTGCCTCCCAGCCACAGACTCCAGTAAGATTTCTCACCCTCTAGCACCCGAGTGAGTAGGGCCGATCCCTCCTGCTGCCCCCGAGTCCTTCCCAGGGCAGGGGAAGATGTGAACCCCAAGCACACATGGGGGTCAGCGAGCTCCCCGCAAGCTCCTGGCCTTGCACCATCTCCCTCAGCGGTGGCGGGGAAGGCAGAGGGAAAACCATCTCACGCTACCCAAAGGGAAGGCTCCAGCGCCAGAGCCCAGCTCACTCACCGTGCCGCACACCTTCACGTCGTGCAGCCGCCCCCACTCATCCTCGTAGCTGTCCACCATCATGATGCTGTCGTCCTCCTCGGTGCCCAGCTCCGCGTGCAGGTGGAGCCGGACCTCCTCGCCCAGCGAGTGCATGCCCACGGCCGGGAAGAGCCCGTCAGGGGACAGAGGCATTATGGTAGAGCCCACCTGCAGAGGGAAGGCAGGGAGGGAGGGTCTGCACCGCGCAGCCAGCCCGGGCTGCAGGGTATCAGGTCCCGCAGTGCGGAGGCCATTTCAACTTGTTGTTCGCTCCTGGGAGCTCAAAACGTCAACCCTAGACAGCAGGATGGGGTGGAAACCGGGCTGTCTACCCCCTAGTTACTGCAAACAGCTGCCATTCACAAGCCTAGGAACAACAGTGACTGGGGACGGCATAAGGACACCTCCCACTACCTCCGCAGCGCTAACTCGGGTGGCACCGCCACAGCTTCGTCGCCTGCCCCAGTTCAAAACAAACTCCAACCCCAGCAAACTAAAAATGCAGACTATTTTTAGCAGACTAAAAATAAACAGAAGGAAAGGGCCCAGCAAGGAGCCCCGTGGCTCTCACCCTCTTCCCGTTCTTCGTGAAGAAGATCTGGGCCGTCTGCACTTCGAAGGAGACCAGCTCGATGCCACAGCCGATGCGGTCCCCAGAGCTGCACTTGGTGCCGAACTGCCGGCCCTTGGCTCGGCCACTGTAAAGCCTGCGAGGGTCAGAGGAGCAGTATCGCATCGGACTCAGCCCGGCCCAGGGATCGGCAGAGCCCCTCCAGGCACGTGGGGAGATGCTGGGGCACGTTTTCCCTCCCTGTTATTCCCTGATAACGGCAGCAAGAGCAAGGGGCAGACTCAGCCCCCCCCAAATCTTGTTTGTGCCAGCAAGGGGGCTGGCTAGATCTGTTCTCTGTCCCCAGGCCGCCCCAGAGGCCATGGAAAGCCCCAACCTACTTCCCAGCAGCAGCCCCCACTCACTTCCCGTCATCGGCATGGTACGCCACGGAGTCAGGCAGCCAGCCCGGCTGGTGGTCCAGGCTGTAGTACTGAGGCACGAGGCCCACAGCAATGGTCCCACGCACACCACTGTCCACGATGGACACCTGCAAGGCGACACCGAGAAAGCCCTTCGGTCTAGCCGCAACGCGGCAGGCGCTCGGGACCGATCAGTCCCCCATCAGCACCTTCAAGCCTTCAATCACGCGGGAAGTCTAGCAGAGAAACTCCCAGGCAAACACAAGATGTCTCAACACAGGCCAGGTGTTGCAAGGTCACTCCCCAGCGTGAGGTGACTCACCTCGAAGTAGTTGTTGTCTCTAGTCAGGGGCCGCGGAGCAACGTAGCAGCCAACTTCGCCCGAGTTCCCATGATAACTGCAGAGGACAAACCGAGGGCGCTGGTCACCCGCTCCGGCTTGGGGACGAGCACTCGCTGCTTTGTGCGGGACGCGAGGGGCCCGCAGGCAGCAGACAAAAGACGCCCACAATCCTCCCATCAGCTCCCGCTTTCCCCCAGCCCCCCCCCAGCCAGCACAGGCAGCTCCTGGGGCTCAGGCTGCCGAAGCGCCTTGCGCCCGCGCGGCTGAGCAGAGACGTGGCAACGGGACAAGCACCTGCTCTGCGAACAGAGCTAGGGAGAGGAGGAAGGAGAAGCCAGGCCCTTCAGCACGCGTTTCGGAGCAGACACCCACATCGCTCTTGCTCCCAGGAGACCCTGTCAACCCTCCCCAGCGTGTTCCCCCAGCATCCACTGCAGAGGAAAGCGTCCCCCCTCCACCGGGTGCTGCAGCTCGACCCGTTCGATCGCCAACCAGGTGCTGGCAGGCCCCAGTCAAGCTAACGAGCTGAGGACTCCACGCTCCGCAGGCACCCATCATCTCTATTTTGCACCCAGGCAGACCACCACCCTCCCCCCTGGAGCCCCAAACCAGGGTACCTGCGAAGCACCCGGCCACAGCCCCCAGGAATAGAAACCCTCCATCCCACCCTGGGGAGCCTTGACGCCCAGCACTCCGCGCCCGCAGGAAGAGGGGACCCTGCAGGACACACGGGGCCACCTTGGGAGCTCTGCTGACGCAACACCCAGGGGAGATGCCGTTCAGAGGCCAGGAAAGGACAGATCCACCGCAGCAACGGCCAGCAGGAGCTTAGAAACTTCGCTCCATCCCTCTGCGGCAAAGGCAAGGGGAGCCGACAGCCCCAGCGGTCCCACCGCCCTCCACCCAGTTCAGCCGGTCGCGGCTCCAGGCCTGTTGCCAGCACGCCAGCTCCAGGTTACCTGAGCGTGTCGCCATCCACGAGGATGTGTTTGAACCTCTCCTGGTAGCGGACAGCTCGCACCTCTCGGATCTCCCGGATCCGCCGCCTCCAGTTCAGGAACCTGTAGTGCAGGTTTAAGTCATCCATCCCGGTCGTGACAGTAAACCTGCCAGAGAGGGGAAGAGAGGGAGTGAAACCCTCTCGTTTCCAGGCCTTTCCCCTCCACGCCAGGGCATCGTCCTCTCTCCCACCAGCGGTCTCCTCCCTGGGCAGCTCCTCCTGCTCCAGCACCCCTGGGACGGCCCTACCTCCACCCCCCAGCTCGGCCT